CAGGTGCACGCTACAAGCTGCATCGTCTGTCAAGGGAGAAGTGATTACCCTGCCTCTCATGGGGAGACCCGTGCCCTTGTTGTGTAAACAACTCGGCGCGCGCACCTAAGGAGGCTTACCTCCTTACTAGCCCGTGGTGGCGCGCACGTGTCTCTAGTGAGATGTACGAAGGGATTGACAACCTGAAATCCCTTTACGACCGTGCCGGGAAGACTTTCTCCGGTGGTCCTTCTGCGGCACAGGATTTGCCGCGTCGTACTGCTCGACCAGACCCAGTACGTCACTCAACATTTAGGAGCGGGGCTCCCAAGTATTCCAGGACGGGGGATAACCGCGCCATCAGACGAGATAACTCGTCCGACGTCCGTTCACGTCGCGTTGGTTCAACAGCTGCTCAACTAGATAGCGCTGGCCACCGCGAAAGACCTCCAAAGAGGTGGAGGAGGAGGGCAAACGCTCTCCTCACGATCGTGGGGAAGCGTGTGTCTCCGAGAGCCTTTTTGATCGCGTAACGCAAGGGCACGTGACGACCTCGAGCATGGGCGGGACAGGCGTCTCCAGCTGGCGGACACTGTCTTGAAGCATCGAGTTGAGTGTGCTTTTGCTCAGCTTGAGAGCGAGAGAGCTCTGACGTCTCTGCGTAACGCGCTAAGGGTAGCTCGTGTGGATATTGACCGGTCTCGGTCTGAGATAACTTCTCTTCATACCCTTGTTGATGCCCACCATCGGGAGCACAAGGCTCTCTGCGAGATGCTTGAGCGCAAGGGCGTTCTTTATCGGAAGAAGCAGCGCACTGATGGTACGGCTTAAGCCGACAAACGCAAAACGTGGGATGCGTTCGCATCTTACGTGGCAACTCGATCATGTATGCGTTGCCTAGAAGATACAATACACGAAATGGACCGATGTACTTGGGTAGAAGTTTTCTACTACCCAAGTTAGTCACTACATGCTTTGGTAGGTTAACCGTAGACAGTAGGACTAAGTCACCTTTATTAAATAAAAGAGTGTTTGCCCTTCCATTCTTGTCTGCGTTTTGCTTTTGCTTATCCACCGCTTCGGCGATGGAGTATTGCACAAAACTAACTACCGTTTCACGAGCCAGTATGAACACATCTGCTGACTTATTAGCTTCAGTGAACTGTGAGTGCACTGCAGCAACATACTTTTTTCTTCAGTGAGGGCTTCCGCGCTCTCACTGGCATCATCTTCTTCAATATCGATGTTATCGATATCGGCATCAAACGCAATGACTTCTTCGTCAGAGCGTAATGAGCGTGAACCAAATCGGTTTTTGCTCGCGCGAGTCCCTCCCCCCTTAAACCAGAGTTACACTCTAGTAAGGTGGGTACACGCGGATGGCGTAAGCCATTTACGTAAAACGGTGTATGTGTCGTGGACGCATGCACCGAGTTGTTAATGTCAAACTCTACCATTGGCAAAACTCACTCCAACTCTTAAAGGAGTGTACGTATCCTCGAAGTATCTTTTCAAGGACACGATTGGCACGTTCCGTCTGACCATCTGACTCTGGATGATCAGATGTTGACATCTTCAAGCGCGTTCCGAGTGATTTGAACACGGAACGCCAGAAATCGGCTTTGAATCGTGGATCTCTGTCTGATACGAGTTCACGGGGCAACCCATGAAGTCGTAAGATGGTGTCAATAAAGACACAAGCACAGCCACTTGCCGTGATTGTCTCTGGTACAGCCACAAGGTGTCCCATCTTGCTGAATCTGTCAACAAATACGAGAATACCCGTATTACCGCGTGCGTCTTTGGGTGGACCCGAAGACGAAATCCATTGAGATGGATTCCCAGCACTCAGCCGGAACCGGTAGAGGCTGTAAAGGTGCACGCAGTGAAGGACTTGACTTCACTCGTTGACAGACTTCGCATGCGCAAACATACTTTTGCACAAACTGATACTGGCGGGGCCAGTAAAAGTCTCGACTCACCGTGAGTAATTTTCTCCCGGCCTCCATGTCGTCCTATAGGAGCATCGTGATACTCGAACATGATCCGCAAACGCAGATCAGTATCATCTGGGATGACAACACGTGGTGTGTCACCAGTAACGGCTGTATAATACAGTAAGCCGTTGCGAGTAGTGTATCAATCTGATGCAGATCGATACGCAGACGACAATCGTTTCAACAATTCTCGAGATGGTTGGGAGAGATGTGTCAACAACTTCACAATCTCACCATTTTGCGCGTATGCCCGCCTCACATCATCATACAACGTTGTAGATGGGACTGAGGACGTCATAACCGCAACAGTGACTGTCTCACTGTTGGGTTTCGCGACTGTTTCAAAGTCGGGACGACGTGAGAGTGTATCAGCGACGACGTTAAGTCGTCCTAGTTAATGCTCTACCGTAAAGTTGTATTCTTCAAAGAATGAAAACCACCGCGCCATTCTTTGTGAAAGGTGCGGGCTGTTAACTGCCGTGCGTAACGACGCATGGTCAGTGTAAACAATGAAGGGTCTATCTCCTAATAGATAGACTCTGAACTTCGCGAGTGCATACTACATGGCAAGGAGTTCCTTGTCATGCACTGGATAGTTCCGCTCAGCTGGTTGCGGCTGACGCGACTGATAGCAGACGACGCGTTCAACGCCTTCACGATCGTACTGCATTAATGCACAGCCGATTGCGAAATCGCTGGCATCACAAATCACATGAAATGGCCTGTCCTGATCGACAATTGCTAGGACTGGGGATTGTATCAAGCTCTGCTTGATACCATCAAAGGAGCGCTGACATTCAGCGTTCCATAACCACCTCTCGTTCTTTTTCAACAAACGAGAGAGGTGTACAGTCATCTCGGCGTAATTGCGTGAATACTTATGCAAATACGCCGCTAGCCCAAGAAATTTTCGAAGACCTTTGACATCAACCGGCATTGGCAAGTTGATGATCGCCTTGATCTCTTCGGGATCAGGACATTAACCGTTCTTACCAACGATGCACCCAAGAAGTGTTATTTCGCTTGCTGCAAATATACACTTCTTGAGATTTGCATACAATTGATGCTTTCGCATGATTGTAAGAACCTGTCGGACGTGGTACCTGTGGACCTCAACGTCCGATTTTCCATCCGTAGCTCGACTATGGATGAATACGTCATCGAAGTAACTCGGCGCGAATCCTCTTACTGGTCTCAACAGATGTGATACACATCTGTTGAACGTGGCAGGGGCATTACTAAGCCCTTGTGTCATTACTAGCCATTCCCAGAGCATGCCGCTAGGCGTGCTAATGTGGTATAGGGTATATCCCGTTCTCGCATAAGGATTTGATAGAAGCCATCCATCAAATCCATGGACGAAAAGGTGGTACTCTTTGACATACCATCAATGATTACGTCCTTCCTCGGTATCGGCGTCAGAGCCGGTACCGTTGCAGCGTTCAATTTGTTGAACGCGTGCACTATCCGCCACCCTCCTGTTGCTTTTTGCACACAGAAGGTCGGAGAGCTATGTGGGGAAGTTGATTCCCTCACATGGCCCGCAGCTAAACGATTGGCAAAGAACTTGTCGATCGCAAGTACTTGTTCACGAGGCAGTGGCCACTGCTTCATGACACAGTACTTCGAGCCTGGTTTAATCTCGACCTCGTGTCGAATACCTTTATCCTTCGGTAATTCGCACGGAACAGTTTCAGGGAATACATCCTTGAATTCAACCAAATCTTAATTCAAAGGATTTGTCTTCAAAGACTCCCACGATTGAGAGTCATTTCGCTCAACTCGTGTCTTTTTATCGAGGACACTCTCGTCCATCGATGAACTACTGAAAACTCTCTCGTTCTCAGTAAACATCGTGGCTGACCTTATGTCGGTTACACACTCGTCGTCAGCGACGAGTACGCAGATCTGCTTGACTTTGCCACTACGCAGATCACGCAAGAACCTTTTATGTTCGAGCGTTGGCAACTGAGTGATCTCCGAAGTCAACTTCGGAGGCGCAATCAGATCAAGTGTATAAGCGCCTACACTTGATCATCATCGACTAGGTCATTCAATGTCTCTGTCATTTCCTGGGGACTTATTCCCTCAGGCCTCGAAGGACTTATTCCTTCGGCTTCCCGGGGACTTATTCCCGCGGGTTTCGGGGAACTTATTTCCGCCGTATTTGTAATATCGGGACTTATTCCCTTTACTTCCTCTAGCTGGGGTTGCGCAACCACAGCGAGATCCTCTACGAAAGACTCTCCAGTCGATCTAGGATTATCGTTTCGCTTAACCTGAGCGATCGATCGTTTCTCTTCTAGATGTTCCCCGCTAGGGATACATCTTTGTCCCAGTCCACCCGACTTATTCGAGTGGTGGACCTTCGGCGCAGCCTGTGTTTCCTCACAGCCGCCGGAACTTTGCTCCGAAGTGTAACCGTTTGGTACACTAAGGTTTTGTGCAGTCGTACTAACGACCGTACCACAAGTGAGGCCATCGCACTCACTCGTAGTACATCCACACGCTTGTGGACGCTCCAAAACGTTCATCAGATGGCCATCTGATGAACAAGCGGCAGGCATCGTTACTGTTTGATGTTGCCAGTTTACCCGTGGTTCGTACCTTCTGAGCCACGACGGTATTCCAAGGGTGACATCAAATTTGTCATCCAAATCCAATACGATAAAGTCATCGTCATATTGGGTATCTTCTAGCGTATAGTGGATCTTCACTATGCGCTTCATGACGGTTACGGATGCGCCTGTCGCAAGACGTACCGTCATCCTCGTAGGAGGTGTGTCACATTCAACAAACTTGAAGTGACCATCTTCTAGCGATTGGCGTCGCACGAAATGTTGGCCGCCCCACAATCGACTAGAGCTCGAAGGGACAACTTATTCGTCACTTCGAGTTTCAAGGTAATGAGTGAGACCTCATTATCTAGAGCAGCAACGCACAACGTTTGTGTGTTGGGAGCAACCTTCATCAAGAGGCCTACAAATTCTCTTGACGTTGCTAGACCAGTAGGGTGCTCCGCACCTACTGATCCTGTCCGTTTTTTGACGGTCCATCCCGTTGTTGCGTCTTTGCACCAACTGCGGACCCTCGTCCCTGCCCCTTTCTCATGGGTGGACGGTCACTACGCCCAGTGTCGCGAGACACTGGACGAGGGGCACTACACTCGTAAGCGTAGTGTCCTGTCTTTTGACATCTGTTGCATCTCTGCAACTTCTTGTAGCCTGTAGAGCGAGCCTTCTCGCTCTCTACATAACAGAGTTCCATCGGCTCTGGACCTCCGTTGTCATATCGTCTCGGTTGACGATATGATGTCGAGCTGGCGCGAGCCTGTCTCAGACTGAAGTCTTCCTGATCCGCAATGGAAACGGCTTGTTCTAGTGAATCTAGTTCAAGCCGGAACAGGTGAGTCTTGACGGGACCATCCGCAAGACCCTGCATGAACACCGAAACCAACGTGTGTTCATCCACCGGATTGGAACTTATACAACTCGTGAGATGTCGTATATGTTGCGCGTAAGGGTGCACATCACGCTTACCCTGCTTGAGCTTCAAGAGTTCGGTTCGAGCTCTGAACTCAGCTCTAGGCGGTTCAAACGTTTGTCTGAGCCGCGACTTGAAGACTTCCAACGATCCAAACGCATATGGGTCGTGCAACTTGAGCCCCAGTGTCCAAGTCTTGGCACGTCCTGCCAGATTTGACTGGGCAAATGCAACTTGCATATCCCCGTCGTCGATGCGACGCGCCCTTATGGCGTCATCCAATTCGACGAACCATCTCAAGAGGGAGTCCTCTTCGACTCCCCTATACTTGGAGATGTCAATCTTCAAGGTTTCGGGTCGACGCGAGTGCATCGACCCACCAGCAGCAGCCTGCTGCTGTCTCAACAGTTCAAACTGTTGAGCACCCTGTTCTCTCAACAACTCTGCTTGTTGAGAACCTTGTTGGTGAAGCAAGGCTACTTCTCGCGTTCTGCGTCAAGTTCATTTTGAATGAACTTGGCGATAGTAGCATGTTGGGCATCTCTATTGAGAGCCTCTAGCATGACGCTAACAGCATGGATGCCCATGGTTGAACCCATCCGTTCAACCGCATCCCATTCGATATCGCTCAGATGGGAGTAGCCGTCACACGTAGCGTGAAAGCTTTGGTCATCTTCATCATCTAACACATTCATGTTGGATGTGAACGTGGTCCTTGGACGGACTACGAAGTGCTACCAGGTGTAACGGGGCACCCTGAAGCTTGTACTGATGACAGTACAAGCTACTTATTCTGATGACAGAATAAGGCGGTGCCTCGGAACTTCACGTACACTGGTACGTGCAGAGGAAGACGGTAAGAAGAAGCGAGTACTTGGTTAAAGTAAAAAGTAAAACTTTATTTAGCATAGTTAGTGTCTGCAATAAATCACTATTTATCTTCATCTAGCTATGTCTAAGTACAAATGTGTAAATCAATTATCTGCTCACCACTCATTGCGTGCGTCTGTCGTGGCGCGTCTTCGTTGGTCGATGTAACGGCCTATATCAACCAATCAGGAACTACTCGAAAGTGCTGCAGAATATTTCCTTATGACGATATTCTGAGAATATAACTCTTATAGTTATATTCTATTAACAATTTCTTGTAAATTGTTATGTAGCGATTCACCCCGTTACAGCTATACTGCATAAATGTTTGTGTGGGTGTTTTTACCTGGATCTAGATGTTGAAGTCCCTGGAACAGCTTGACATTAAATTGATACAAGGAGATTTGAGTTTAGTGCATGGACGTGTTTTTTTAAATGTGTGTACGGGATGTGTTTGAATGAAGTTTGTCTCTAATGAAAATAAATACTTGGCTATAGCCTTTGAACTAGTGTATTCTTGCCGGCAGGATTGGAGTTTCGCTACTGAAATACGAGTCGGGTAGTCCACAAAGTACAAATACTTCTACGTCCGGATGAGCGTTTTATTTGGATTTAGTGAAGATAGCCACGGTCAGTAATTCTGACCCTAGTCAGAAAGGATATAACGCGTTGCATCTGCTTATGTGGGCAAGTGCAGAATTTTTTATTTGCTGTTCATATTTTTATGCACAAATTACCTTTCGTGGTAATTCTCCGCAGGTGCTATATTGGCATGGTCTTCGTTAGCAGAGGTAGCATATCTTGTGATTGGTTGAAGCGCATAACGTTATTTGATGTATTCGCAAGAACACCAATTTTCTTGAAAAACCAGTGCGGATCAATTTTGTTGGACTGAACAACACATTTGCGGTATCAACATCTACCGAAATATGTTCCGTAATTTGTTTCTACGATCAGGCTTGTAATTTCTCACGCACAATTTCATCGCATCTATGTTTCATAATAAGGGTAGAGCAATTAGCTTTAAAAATTTACTTGGTCGCTTAGAGTTTTAACGCCATGAGTCGAAATGCATAAATTGAAATTTCCCGCACACTTCTCAACAACGCTAACCAGGAAAGCGGACAATATCGCATTCACGCAAATGAAAAATGCACTTCATTTTGTTCCAAACAATTTTTTTTTCATCGAAAACCATGGAAAAATAGGGTCTGACATTGTACTTATTTTCTCGAAGAAAGCTTGTGTTTCCGAACTTTGGAGTTAGATCCGTTCTAAATGCAAAACACCAATTTTTCGCGTGATTAAGAAAGGAGATTTTGTCATCTGTTTGAATGGTCTGAACGCGGTCAAAGGGAAAATGTTCGCCTCACTTCCGTCCCTGCAGCCATTAAGAAGTCGGGTGTCTTCGTTCCAAATACGAAATCGTCCATCGGTTTTTTCCACAAACGCAACACGTGTTTATTTAGTAATCTGCAGGCTCAAATTGGGAGGAAATTAATACAGTATCGATCTTTTATGTAGGATTGTACAGTATTAAGAATTGGTGTCGCGCTGTAGTTAAGGCTGTAGTGCTGGCGTTCATCAGTGTCTTATCCGTACCATAGAGACTGGGGTTGAGGGCGCCATAGTGATCGGGCCCTTTCCATAATTGTTTTCTCAAAGCATTTCATATCTTCCTAAAAAGCGTTTTGCAATGTCACTAAGACAAACTTTAATTTGAACGTTATAGAATACCTACCCCTTATACTTTCTACGTTGAGCTTTATTAATGTGCGCGCCACAAGTACAATATCCTTGTTTAATGACGCTACATAAACCAACTAGCAGGTAGGTCGTGTTCAATTATAAATATGCTAATTTGGAAATAATACTGTTTAGAATGCTATCCTGCGTTTCGACTCTCTCATATGGGTTTAATGCTTCGTGCGTTTAGAAAAATTGACGACGGCTCTGTATTGCTTTGACACCTTTAAAGGCTTCGAAGGAAATCCTACATTGTGGCCGTGCTGGTTCTTGCGCGCAAGAAATATATTTTAAGCGTATCTCTTGCATCTTTGTACGCCTTCTTTCCTGTGAATTTAACTGAAATTTCCGGTGTAGCTGCATCGTCGTGAGTTTTCGAACCATCCTAACGATGTGCTCATTTATCGTTTCGATATTAACCGTTCCACAATCACTTGTTTAACCTGCTGCGTAAACTTTTGCGTTCGGCATAAGAAGCGTCCGCGTTGAGAGCGCTGGAGCAGCGCGAACGCAGTGAAAGCGCATCAGTAATTTTTTCGGTTTTTTTACTAATGTCATTTTTTGGATTGCCTCCATGTGCTCTTCGTTTGGCCTTGACAAAAAAGCAGCAGCTATACCCTTTGTCTCAAAACCTGCACAAGCGATCTCGATTGTTGCATTTCTTGATCAATTTAATTAAAAGACTGTACAAAAGTTAGTGCCACTGCGCGAATTGTGCTAAATTTCCCGCTAAATTCGTTGTAGTGGCGTCATCCTCTTCAGCCTTTTTATCCTCATCGTCCAAATTTTTAGCAAGTACATAAACGTGTTTTAAATTTTGTCAAGCTCTATCACATACCCTTGAAATAACTTCTTCGTATAATTCGAATAATTTACACCAGATACCATGTCCATCCTATCATCGGTCTCCTAGACTTTTTTGATCGGACGAAAGCGCAAAACTAGTAGCTAGATGAGCGCTAATAAGGTAATGTACAACATAATTTAATAATGGTACAGCTTCTGGTTCTGTCAGCCATGAACTACACACGAAATCACCCGCTGCATAAATACTTGCATGGAGGAAAACCACAATCAATAAGAGGGAGCTGTATACATACCACATACTTCTGATATATGTACAACATTTCATTCTAGATCGATAATGTACCAAAATACTTATTGTTTACATAAAACAGAGCTCATAGGACCGTATCAGGCGACAATAAGGCCGCAAATTATGCTTCTAGCACCAATGACTGCTACGACTTCTCACCCCGGATATTACATGAGCAAAAAAACTTCATGCTAAGCATCAACGGACGGCTACGTTAATTAACATTGGAAGTGTTTGCACCTTAGGAGCGGAAAGGGTGAAACTAACGGGATCTGTCAAGTGATGTGCCGTATCATATCCCCCTTCTTATACCCTTATTTGAAAAAAGGTACTGTGTTAGGCAGGGTACATAAGAATTCACACGTATTAAGATAAAATTATTCAATTGGAAAATAAACGACGGCAGTGGCGGAGTGGTTTAGCAGTCTTTCAGTTGCACAAATAGCCCGGGTGCAACCCAACAGCGATCGCACAGATAGAACATCCATAGATGGGATCTAAAAACCGCCACATAAGTCCATTTATTTCAAATTTAATGCGATATACATAAGAAAAGCGCTACAAACACAAAGTGGAATGTACCTATTCACAAACTAGATCTTTAAACTCATCTGCAATATTAGCACCATCTGCATCATCGAAGGCTCCTTCGTCAAAACTCACCCATTAACTCGGAAAGCCGACCGTACGCATCGTGCTTGGCAATGTGTTAGCCGCGGTGATCAATAGCGAATACAGATGCGGCAATCGGTACGCGGACAACATCGTATGGGACAGCATTTTTTGAATTCGCTGACCCAAGCCACCACCTCCTATATGTTTGGTGACCATGTACATTTATTCTTGGTGTACCGCACCCGGTCAGATCTCTTCCAGTCGTCAATCACACTGGAAAGACACATTTTGAATTACTTAAATATTCCGATGCCTCCTGCCTGCAGGTACGGCGTTAAACCCTCAGGAATAACTATCATATAGATCTTCTTGCTACAGCACTTCGCTTAATGTCCTTCGTTATATGTGCTCGCATCGAGGCCTACACGATCTCTTTGCCAACGCAAAGTTCAAAAGCGTTTAAATCTAAGTCAACCCACTTAATGAGAAGCCCACTGTTCACCTAGGAACGCTCTTGATGTGTAACGTAAATTGCGCCGCTCTTCGGATCGATTTTTCGCGCCTTTCCAGATCAAAAGAGGCATCAATTTTTACTCTTGGCTGTGACAATAAGCACAACAGTTGTACACATCAAAGCGAACCCTGTCGACCGCAAAACGACATGACGTGCGCCGGTAACGATCACTGTGTCGCACCCCGGGTATTTACAGAATACTGTCGTCTCATTTATCGGGAGCGTGCTACTGTGGCTAAGCTCTCTCTTTTTCAATGATAGGTACTTATTAAATTGAACGCACGCGCGGTGAGCTCGTCTTCACTCAATACGGTGAGGCTGGTCGTCCGTAGGAGATAAAGGTCATAGAGGGCCAAGAAGCGAGCAAGTTACTTGTCCGATGCGCAGAGGTCATCGTCGTCCGGCTAAGATTCAGTGAGATCGCGTGCAAATGTTTAAATCCACTGACGCGACACCAAGTCCTTCTTCGATCTCAGGAGAACAATCTGATTAAACAATACCTCCTCTACCTCGCCAAGCGCTACGTGTCTAACGCCACCGGTTACACGCAGCTGCAGACCCGGGGAGTACGTGATGGCTTCGCGTTTCTTCCGCCATAAGCGACCCTGGGCCCCGACACTTTCCACCCTCGCTCTGCTTGAAAGTGATTCAATGAGCGCGTAGAGATCCCATCACCAGGACCTTCAATTCACTCGATCACTTCCCGCTTCTCGATTTTAATCTTGGAAATGCATCTGGGTGCCACATTGTGCACTAGAAGATAAAGTTCTTTGTCGAGAATGGAGCTTGATATCTAGTGATTGAAACGCATTGAAGGTGAACGATCTTTTAATGAGTAATCGCCGCCAACTATTTATCTTAGGCAATCGTTGGAAAAAATGGTTTTTTGCCAACACAGTTTATGGTATACTAATGGGCACGGTAATATACTACTTGTGTATCTGATAGTGAGTTTTTAAAATTAGATTAGGACGGACTTCATTAAACGGCAGAATTCGCTGTTACTAGCTTCGTTGTAATTTTCTGCAAAAATGAAGAAGAACACTGATAAAGCTACCAGACGCACAGTGCCAGCATCTTGCGAGCTCGCTGCTCTTTTAAAGTAAACACAGCGACGTTAGGTTCAGACGGCTCATTTGATATATATAATGAGAACAAAGTTAATGACCATGCGCCATCGGAGGAAGTTGCAGTATACGCATCAGCACAAGTACCTTAACATTAAAGCAGCTTTTGACAATTAGACAGCTAGGAATAGCAGTCTTCCAGCCAAACGAATACACGCTACCCCGCGCCAGACCATCCTACTCTAAAAACCATTCATTATGGTATTAATAACGTCAAAACAAAGGCCCCGAACAGATATCTTGCTGTTCACCGACCTTAAGTTGATTTCTGGGCATGCTGATCGCACAAAATACTTTCTCACTTTTACAACTTAATTATTCAGGAAAGCCTACCCATACAAAAATCGCGCCCAAATCCGCCACATCTATTGCGAAAGAGAACTCTTCAGACGGCGTTCAGCTTCTAGACTCCACATACAAATTAGCCAAAACTGCAAATCTCTTTTTTTGCGCCATAAGCGTAATGACAACAAATCAGTTGTTCTCACTAGCTTGGCGCTTAACGGCTATAGAGACTGAGGATGATAGGATGATAATTTGCGTGGTGAAAACATTAAGCGATTTCAAACAAAGGCTCAACAGATTTAAACGATAGTTTGTGAACGACAGAGATCTTGAATCTATGATTACATGAAATGCGTATTACCTAACGCATGCAACTAGCTCTGCATCAGGCTTATGAACAAAAGTGCTATGACAAAGTAAAAAACGCCTTGTCACAGCCGAGGAGTGGTTGCCTTATCAGAATCTGGAACTTGCTAGATACTACGGAGACGCGTGACCACTTTAATGAATGATATGCAATCTAGAGTATTTACCGGTCGGCTCCCACTTTCTACCATGAAAAGAGATGGCTATCGTACTTAAAGTGGTTTTTAAGGCATTGACATATAGTGTTTATCAGAATTTTGTTTAAATCGCGGGTCGAGAGCGCTTACAAAACACTGATGAATTGGCTATCCTGATTCTGTTCACATTAGATTGATACTGTATCAGACGCAGCAAAAGTATACGACAAGCTGTGATGTGACGTTGTCGAGTGCAAGCATGCAACTGAGACATCAATCAGAATTTTTGTCGAACGTGGTAAAGAAGATTTCATATAAACCCCTATTTGAAGCATTTGCTAGTGTAGTAACAGAATTTATTGATTGCTAAATGGTGCAGGCTGAGACTGAACTGACATAAGCGAATACATAGTAAATATTTCGGTAAGCCGGCGTACCCCTCTAATCAATCTCTTTAGTGAGTAGTACATGGTGTGAGCTGTTAGGTTTGTTCCCTTAAAGCCCTTCATACCTCGCAAAATGCCAGAGAATTACTCTGTTTCTGTGAGTGTAAAGCGGCCAACAGACTGATCAGGATCGTGGATATCCACAAACTACATTGAAACGAAGTCTTGTCCATAAATTTACAAAATGCCCGCAGCGCTTTGAGGCCTTAGTCTAACGAAACATGTCATTTATGCTGATTGCATTCGTGTATTTGCCTAAACTTGAATGTAACGCTATCAATTCTAGCAGATCTTTATTTATACGATGGAAAAACCATGCTTTCAGCCACATATAATTATGTCCTTCCCACTCGCCCCTTTTCTCCCTCGCCGCGAACATAACCTTTCTATAATCTGACTATCCTTCGCATCAAACAAGCAGCAGGTCTTGTTATGGATCTGTATCTGTTTTTTATAAGCGTATGGATGGCGTTTTAAGCCTTCGGGATGCTCATTTGTGTTCTGGCCGCTGGCAAAGTGCACTCGTACTAAACTCGAAGCACTCATCTCTTTGGAGCTTAAGGCATGTCAATCGTAACGCTTTCCACGCTCGCGCGTTAACTAACGTCCAATGCGACTATTAAATTTGCCGCGAGCACGTCTAGGACGCCAACGTATAGGATTATGTGCTCGCATGCCAGGCGCGACAATTTTAAAATGTTGAGCTTCGAAAACACACATACTTTTTTCGTTTCAGTTTTTGTGTTATATTTAAGCACATCGTGCCTATTCCATTTTAAAGTTACAACGTATAGTAACAGCTTGTACTGTTTACAAAAATCCTATATAAAACGTCTAATACGTGTAAAGTATTGGATGATTATGGTGATGCGCGTGTAGTGTTGTACATTCGTGAAGTAGAATCCTGTGATAAGTATAATTTTTTAGAAGCATTTATACTATCCAGGGATGACAAATGCAAGCTTCAAGTGCCTATGTAGCGGAGCTACACAGCTCCTCAAGTCAGAGGAAGACTTAACGCTCAACGAGCTACTTAGTTCTAAAGAATTTACGACCCTACGAGTCAACAAGCTTGACAGCTTCAGATCCCTGTTCCAGGTAACCTAACGATTCATTGAATCGACAGCACTCAGTGCCCAAGAGTAGCTACCTCAAGGAGGTGTTGCTAACTCTTAATGATCAGTGATCAATGATCAAGACGACTCGCAAGCCACGCATCCTTTAAATCAAAATGGGAACTGATTTTATTTTTGTTAAAGCTTATAGAATATCTGAATCCTACTCAAAGATCTTTCGTACCTAATGGCTGACACTCGTCAGTCTCTACAAACCAATTCGATATTCTATATCACCTTCCTAGGGGTACCATCAGGTGTGTGACACACCTGGTACAAAGTACACTTTTACGTGCAACCCCGTTACACCCTCCCCCACCAGACTGACGTTTACCAAAACGTCAATCGAACTTGTGTTCTCAGTGAGGACAGTGCGCGTACGGTAAACCTCGCGGCAACGTACGCTCCAGCACGATGTCCTCATCACCAAACGAGTCAAAGGCTCTGTGTGACTACCTCGGAATAGAGGAGGAGCTGGACTATGGTAGCGATACCAGTGTCCGCGGTGATATAGGGCCAATGTCCAGCTCACTGATGCCTGTGGCACAACCTTCGAACACCCCAAATCCGTTCGCTGAACGTGGAGATGCGAGCGCGTCACCATCGCAGCATGCAGCATCTGGGTCTGATGAGACTATCATCACGAACCCGCTCGGTGAGCTTCAACAAATGCCTGTCCAAAGAGACGAAAACGCTCTGCGTTATGTACAAATGGCTGCAACCCTTGAACGCCAGCGTGACTATGTGTTCACCCCACCCAGCGTGAAGGAACGTCTACGTCAAGCGGCCGGCCAAACATTGGCAACGTGGGTCATTGGCCATGGGCCTAAGACTCCTGAGGAGGTGGTGAGCTGCCAGGCACTTCGTGAGAGGTACCTGGAGCCGCACCTAATGACTCAAAGTCAATACAAGGCACGCCTTGACATGCAAGCGCGTGGTATACCGGTTCCACCGATCAAGGGTATACCCATTCTCTTGCTCGCAGGCGAAACAGTGAGTGAAGAAGGCGATGCCTTTGTTCACTAGGTGCACTATGTGCGTCGCCTTAGCAACATTTTTGCTTTAAGGGCTAGTGCCCATGTGGCTGACGTGCGTCTTGAACGCAAGCTTCGGTATGATTATGCCAAGCTCAAGGCCAGAGGCCAATTGCGCAAGCGCACGCGCTATGCTTTGGCTACTAAGGTAGCCGCGAGTTCTGATCAGTCTGTGGCCAACAACCCGCCAACCCGCACCACTAGTGGTGGGGAACGGCCTCGGCCTCGAGACGACCATGGCCACGATGCTCAAAAGCCTCCAAAGCATATGGGCAGTCTTGCCGAAGGGGTACCTCAAATTCCCATGAGTTTTCAGACTCAGGGTACCCACGCCACTTTACCAGATACTGGTATTGGCCCTGACGACGACGTCGTATCAGTAGTCTCTCTACATGAAATTGACGACACCCATGCTCATCGAGAAAAGTCGGTGGCGGCCGGTGTACCGGTGGAGGCCCACGAGAAATTGGTTCTCGAAGTGAAGGGTCTTCAAGAGGCCTTGGGTAAGTCCCAGTGCATGCTGGATGCGATGCAAAGCCGCCTTCAGGCGATGGAGCAAGCTAAAACTCGGAGCGAGGCTCAGTTGGACATGCTGATTCGTCTACAGCAATCCGGGGCAGTGCCCTTGTCGTCGGCGCAAGCGCCTCCAAGTTCACATGGGAAGGATCCCGGTACGGCATAAGTAAGCCTACGTAGAACACTGGATGTGTGCGCAATTTGCGCGGAAGGTTTAGCGTATACGCAAGTCCCTTCTTGGCCGTGACCGTAAACGGTCCAATAAAGCGTGGACGCAACTTTGTCTTAAAGACAGCAGACACTACATTTGTAGGTAGATTTTTAGCATTGAGTAGTACTTGGTCTCCGACCTCATAATGTTAAATACAATTTCTGCCTTTGGCATCAGCTTGTTGTTTTTGGGTATCTTGGCTATCAGCCATTGTGTCACGCACATGTCTTAAGACATTTAAAAGCGTTGCGAGAAACTCGCTTACCTGTTTTTGGACAGTAGCAGGGCTGATATCAGCAAGCCAATCGGCAACCTCTCCCCCACCAAGCCCTGAATCACGTAGTGACAGCGTTAACGGAACGCGAGGGTGGGTGAGATCGTTTATATAGAACGTGGTAAAGCCTGTTGAGGCATGAACAGCGTTATTCAACGCAAACTCAACAGCAGGAAGCATTGAGCTCCAACGCCTAGGCGTATCAGCGTAAATACTGCGCAAAATATCGTTGATGACGCGGTTTACGCGCTCAGTTTGACCGTCGGTCTGCGGATGATCCGCTGTGGACATGTCCAACCGAGTGCCAAGCACCTTGAAGATAGACTTCCAAATCTTTCCAGTGGAGCGGGGGTCTCTATTAGAGCCAATTGACACAGGCAAGCCATGTTGGCGAAACACACGGTCGATAAACCGCTTTGCTGTACCTTCAGCATCGCTGCTATCCGGCACAGCCGCTAAGTGAGCCATCTTGCTCAATCGGTCAACAAAGACCACAATACCAGTGTTGCCTTCACAATCTTTCGGTTGGCCAAACACAAAATCCATGCTCATGGACTCCCAACAACCAGTGGGTACTGGCAAACTAGCCAGCGGCGCCGCCGCATGTGCCGAGGGTTTTACTTATTGACACGTTTCGCACGTACGCACATAGGTGCGCACCCACTTATAAAGTTTGGGACACCAAAAACTTTGGCTCACCGAGCTATAAGTCTTCTCACGACCGAGATGACCACTTAAAGCAGTATCATGTGCCTCATAAAGGATCCGATACTTTAATTCCTCATCATGAGGTACAACGATACGAGGTTTGTCCTCAATATCCGTGCGATAGCACAACAGGCCATTATCGATGGAATAGCGATGTAGCCTCGCACGTAAACGTGCCGACAATTCTATGTCCGAGTCTTTAAACTCATTGCTCCCAAGAGCTTGTAGCAAAGCTACACACTGATCATCCTTGGCATATGCCGCACGAATTAAGTCAGGGACTGACGACGACAGAGTCGTAACATGAGCAAGCTCATAGTCAGGTCGACGCGATAGCGCATCAGCCAAAGCATTTTGCTTACCTGGCTTGTACTTCACCTCGAAGTTATATTCGGCAAAGAAGGAAAGCCAACGAGCCATTCTCTGTGAGAGATGAGGCGACTGTGTCGCAGTGCGTAATGACGCATGATCTGTATAGATCACAAACGGCTTGGAGCCAAGCAGATGTACTCTGAATCTGACAAAAGCGTACTTCATAGCAAGTAGCTCTTTGTCATGAACTGAGTAGTTCTTTTCAGCAGTTTTCAGCTGCCGAGACCCGAATGCGATGACGCGTTCGCGTCCATCGACATCTGTTTGTAACAGAGCACTGCCCATGGCGAAGTCAGGTGCATCACAGACGACACTGAAAGGCCGATCAGGATCGGGCAAAGCCAATATTGGCGCATGAAGGAGACTCCCTTAACTGCTTCAAAAGCATTATGTTCGGTGTTACCCCAACTCCAATACACATCCTTTTTTAGGAGATTGGACAATGGCCGAGCCATATTTGCGTACTTCGCACTGTACTTATGTAAGTAATTGGCAAGGCCAAGCCACTTACGTAAGTCCTTTTGGTTCTTGGGAACCGGCCAATCGACTATGGCTTTTAGCTGAGCGGATTCCGCTCAAAGGCTTCGCTTCCCAATGAAGCACCCTAGAAAGGGAATCTCTTCTGCACCAAAGATGCACTTCGATTCGTTAGCATACAACTTAATCGTTCGCATGCACTCGAGCACAGCTCGTAAATAATCAATGTGGTTATCCACATCTGATCGCTTATTCATTGCACGACTATGGACAAATATGTCATCAAAGTATGTTTGTGCATAGCCTCTATGGGGCCGAAACAACTGCGTTACCAGACGGTTAAACGTTGCAGGTGCGTTAGATAGCCCTTGGGGCATCACTAACCACTCCCAGAGCATACCGCTCGGAGTACTGACCGCTGTCAGCGGGATATCACTAGCTCGCATGAGCAGTTGGTAATATCCATCGACTAAGTCGAGGGCACTGTACATTGTACATCCCTCCATATTGTTCTGAAGAACATCCTTGCGAGGAATCGGTGTTTGAGCCGGGATAGTGGCTGCATTCGGCTTATTATAAGCATGCACTATTCGCCACTTCCCATTAGGCTTTTTCACACAAAATGTCGGTGTTGAATGGGGAGACTTGCTCTCACGCACCATGCCAGCCGCGTGCTTTGCATGAAAGAACTCGTCAATGACGTCACATTGTTCTCGTGGCAGCGGCCACTGTCGCGTCACACAGTATTTTGTTCCAGGAACCAAGTCAATTTCGTGACGTACACCTCTATCGGGAGGTAAGGCAGAAGGTGGATTGTGACATACTACATCTTGAAATTCCTTAACTAAAGGATAGAACGGATCCAAAGGATCTTTAAGGATGGAGGATCCGCTTCGTGCACTAAGTGCCGCCTTTGTATCCTCCAGGACAGACTCATCCATTAACGGGAAAGAGTTCAACTCAGTATCAGGTCTAATGACCGCTATTTTGGATAACTCTCCTGCATTTTAGGCCTGGCTAAATTCGCCATCAGACATTTCGTCTAGCTCACAAAGAGCGTCCAAAGATGGAAGGGTTTCAAGGCAAACACTGCCATCAACCTGACCAGTCACTCCATTGACAAGTGTATATAGTGTATTACTATTATCACTATGTGACTGTGAGGACGCCTGGCGCTTAAAAGTTGCTACCCGGCGTCTCGATCGTCTCTTCTAGACCTTACACCCCTTAGGGGTCGGGACAACATTGTCCCCATGGTTACTACCAACCATAGTACGCTCTATACGAGAGCTTTTGTCTTGACCGACATCCGGTGAAGTGTTACGCAACTCGAGCACTTCACCCAGTGTATTTAAACTTGCCACTCCACGTGTATTATGCAGGCTAGCCCCAAATTTAATGGCGTCTCGCCAATGAGGTCATTACCGACATGGTGTGGTGCCCTCACGGCCGCCAACACTATACGGCGTATCGCCAACAGTATCATTACTGACATTAGGTGTGGTGCCCTCACGGCCGTCCACACTATACGGAGTATCGCAAACTACGCCATAACCGGCGTTAAGCGTGGTGCACTCACGGCCGTCCACACTATACGGAGTATCGACAACAACATCATTACTGACAATAGGTGTGGTTCCCTCACGGCCGTCCACACTATATGGTGAATCGCCAACAACGTCATTACCGACGTTCAGTGCGGTGCTCTCACGGCCGACCGCACTCGGTGTAGTTTCACGTGCCACCACACACACATCAAAGGAATCACTTCCTTAATCACTAGGCCCTAGGCCAACCATGCTTTCAGCATGCAGTGACTCGTTATCACAACGAGCAACACTCAACGGAGTACGTGCCATTTCACTAATTTCAGACGAGCTAGGCTCGAAACTTATGTTTGTAACTTTAGGGTTAGATAACTCAGACATTCCAATATCCAGCACATTGACATCTTCTGTCAAAGGCTCGCGCCAATAACTCTTCTGTTGCCTAGCAAAGGTGGGTTCATGACTCTCCAATACTTCACTAAGAAAAATTGCGCAGAGCGCCTAAGGTCTTGGACCTCCAATCAATACATGGCTCATGGCGTTCAAGCCAAGCCATACCTAGGATGAGATCATATCTCGAGTCCAAATCTAGGACAAGACAGCGCTCAATACTGTCAAAGTCTAAAAACTTTATACCTAAGTTCAACGAAAATTTAGTTACGGTTACGCGACTTCCGGTCGCTAAACAAACCGTGATAGAATCACCCATATGCGCTGTAAGCGCCTCAGCATATTTCTGACATCCCTCAAGGAAACGGCGTCGAGCATAATTGCAAGACGCTCCAGAATCGATCAATATCGACCAAGGCTTCTAAAAACCCTTGATTTTCGCCTCGGCGACCAACAAGCCAGACTTGTATTCACGCACCATACCTGTAGACATGGTACTCTTTAGGGCTAATCCCTGCATTCCTTTACCTTATACAGATGTAACAGAACATAGTTCTTCCCAGTAGGGCGCGCCGCGCCTACTGGGTGTCGGCATTTCCCCGTGCCATGCTAGACTTCTGACTCGAAGTCGAGTGTTGGCTTGTATCCTGGCGTTGCTTTCGCAAAGGGCCACCAGGCCGCAAGTGTTTAGAGCTTCCGCACGTAAAACATCGTCGTACGACGTGTTGCTGCTCAGAAGCTTGAAGATCAGCTTCAACTCCATCTTCAGCATAGCTGAGATCCATCGGTTCCGGCCTATTATATGCAGTGGTACCCAAAAAGTTTGCTCTCACAGAGCGATGATTGTACCCATTTCAACCAAGTCTGGCCGACTTGAAGTTATGCTCAGCATTAAGAGCAATTCTCACACCCTCTTCAAACGTATAGGGGTGAACCCGAAAAACCTCGGTTCTGGCAATGCCAGTACGTAGACCTTCCATGAAGATAGTCACATGGACTGCTTCAGGCAGATGGTCAGACGGCATAGCAGCAATGAGCGATCGCAGCTCTTCGACATAGTCCGATAATTCATATTTTCCCTGGCGGGTAGAAAGAAAGCGTGAACGCACGCGGTAAGCCTGGTTAGGTGGTGAGAACACCTGTACCAAATGTGACTTGAGCGACTCCCATGTGGGAAACGCTATGTC